TTTTTTTTTTTTTTCTCACTCTACATAAAGGCCCCCAAATGAATTTGTGGCTCTTCCTGGCCTTATTTTGAAACCAGGTGGTTGCAATGGCAGTAGAGAGCTTCAATGTTACCAAGTGATGAATGCAATGGCTGGGCAGTCTAAGGTGGACAGAGACACTATTTTTTTTTTTTATTTTGTCTTTCAACCAGAATGTATAAGTATTTTTTAAGAGAGATTTCACCTCTATTTATTTGTAGGCAAAGTAAAACTTTTCTGAGTTTATAATGAATCAGAGAAAAAGAAACCCCAGTGATGCAGAAAAAAATATTAGTAGGTTTTGGAATTGAAGCTTTATACTATGGCATAACTAAGATTTCTCCTTGTCTTGAGGGGCAGCATGGTGTGAGAAGAAACTTTCCACTTACAGCCTGGGGAAGTGAAGGATACCTTCCAATAGGCCATAGAAGTTCCATGTTCTCTTAAAAGTCAGATGACACAAGCATAACCTCAGTCCTTGCTTCCACTGTTTCAGTTGTCCTAGTGTACATTTAACATTAACCAGGAAAAAAAATAAACATAAAAGGAACTCTTGCTCATTTTTGACAAGTATCACCATGTTAACACTGTAACATCCTACCCAGTCCTTTTTAGCAATTTTACTGGATAGTACCGATACAACACTTGAGAACACAGACAAGATATTAACTACCGATCAGTCACGATGAATAATTTCCTCATTCGCTTTTGCGAGCGATTCCAGAGTCTGGTATCAGCGAGGGCTTCTTACAGAGCCTGGGTGTGCACTATAAGCAGGCACCAGTGTCTGTTCCAGTAAGGTTGGTTTTGTTCACTCTGTGACCTCACTCTCTACTTATTTACAATTGTAACAAGTCTGAGGTTTTAGACATTGTAGCTTTTGCTAACCTCACAGAATCACAGAATGGTTTGGGTTGGAAGGAACCTTAAAAATCATCTGGTTCCAACCCCCCTGCCATAGGCAGGGACACCTTCCACTAGACCAGGTTTTGACTCAGCCCCATCCAACGTGTCCTCAAACACTTCAACACCTCAAAGCAGTGCCTAGCTCCAAACTTAAGTCATTTCAGTTAATAATACGCTGCCCGTGTGGAACAATTACAATCAGGATGGAGCCTGCTGAAGTCTTAAGAGTGTAGCCAGACACCTAGTTAATTTTAAAATTACAATCATATAATTCCTTTCAAATTACACTTACGGACAAAGTCACTGTGCTATTCCAGCAGGGGAATGAAAAGGAGCTGTTAATGTTTTCTATGTAATTTCAGGAAATAAGTTTTTAGTGAGTTTTTTTTCCAGCAGCTTTAAATCCCAATCCAGTTCAAATTTCATTACACTCCAGATTCTTGTGTTTCACAATTAATTTTAGCGCCGCAATGCAGATACAAGTACTTTTCATGTTTTAAGACTAAAACCCGATATTGCAATAACAAAATAAAACTAACAGTTGCTACTTACTATGTAACTGTGAGTGAGTAAGACCAAGTAACTAGGGTTTGTTGGAATACTGAAAGAAAATAAAGCAATATTCAGTGCAGTCTTCAAATATTGTTAGTTTCAGTGTAGAAAAACACACATTTTCAATCAAATTCCAAAGTATTACAGCTCTTTTCTTGCACACGGAGTGGCTCTTAAAAGAGCCTTTGGGTTTTCGATAGCCTGAAAGATCCGTCTGCTAGAGGCTTAAGCGCGCTCGCCGCGGATGCGGCGGGCCAGCTGGATGTCCTTGGGCATGATGGTGACGCGCTTGGCGTGGATGGCGCAGAGGTTGGTGTCCTCGAAGAGCCCCACCAGGTAGGCCTCGCTCGCCTCCTGCAGCGCCATCACGGCCGAGCTCTGGAAGCGCAGGTCCGTCTTGAAGTCCTGCGCGATCTCCCGCACCAGGCGCTGGAAGGGCAGCTTGCGGATCAGCAGCTCCGTCGACTTCTGGTAGCGCCGGATCTCGCGCAGCGCCACCGTGCCGGGCCCGTACCGGTGCGGCTTCGCCTTCCCGCCCGTCGACTTACGCGCCGTCTGCTTCGTCCGCGCCATCGCTCTCGGGCAAACAACTAAGGCAGAGACGAGCAAAAGCACTGACGTCCTGCCTGTAGGCGAGGATTATATAGAGCACTGGTCCCTTCTCTGATAGGCGGATGGCTACACGCTGAGTCTCATTGGTGGATTCAAAGTTTAAAAATCCCGCCATTGGCAAGTACCACCTCTCTTTTTGCGTCTTTCTTCTTCCTTTATACCTTGTGCTGCCTAAAAAAGCTATTTTTTTATCACTGCATGCGTTTTCCATTTCCAGAAACCCTTCATATATTATTGATTTTAAAAATTTTTAGACATTGTGTGAGTTAATAATTAAGACTGCCTTTTTTAAAACAGTTTTGTCCTTTCAATGTGAAATTTCGCCCCCCTCCCCCTTTTTTTTTGTATGCATATTTCCCTGTAGAGTTAACAAGGATAAAATTTCTCTGGAAGTTATAGGAATTATTATTTAAATACGTGGAAATACTACAGAAGCATACAGAATATAAAAGGAGAACAGAAGGAAAAAAGATGGCAAGTGAAAAAACAATAGATTGAAAAGAATAATGAAAAACAGGATATTAAAAAACAAAACTTTAACCAAATAATGAAGACCCACCCGATTTAGTTCCTGTTAATAGTACAAGAACAAATCAACGGTACTAAGAAAAATGATGACCAGAGGATGAGTATCGGAGTGAAAAGCTGTAAATGGAGTTTTAGATGTAATCAC